CTTTAAAGTATTATTTTTCACTTTTCATTGAAAAGGATGGTCATCTAGATTTTTACGTCAGTATCTAACATCATTTATTTTATACAGGTAATACAGTGAGGCTGCATGAGATTTCCTTTCTGCTCAGTCTGAATTTCATTCTCCAGCTCATGAACAGTGGAGTACATTATATGCTTAGCATTCTAATACTAATTTTTAATGACAGAGTAAAAATTATTTAACATAATTAATTTTTAATGCTTGTATAAATATGAAATGACTTATCATGATCTTTTTATTGGTGGCATTTACTTTTTTCTACTTCATTGTCTTGTTTGAGGATGAAAGATTACATGTGGAGTATATTTTAAGTGATTGCTTGATTATGTTTTAATGGCTTACTGGAAATGTAGAAATATTTCAACTGAACACTGAGAATATTTGATGGAAAATGAAATAGATTATTATTAAATTCAAATGATATCTAGTGAAAAGGCAGACTATAACTTTCTCATCCTAAAACCAAACTGCAAATTTAAATAAGCCATCACTAATACAGTATCATAGTGATATGTATCACTTGTATAATGTCAGTCTAGAAATCACGGAAACCATTTAACTTGTAAATAAGTATTTAGATGTTGAAGGAATGAAGCTGGAGTCTTTCCAGGTTTTATGAAGTAGAATGGACATTAAAAAATGTGGCTGAGGGAAGGCAGCATTGCTGATGAGTGCTAGAGGAGTTAGCATATGCTGTAGTACTGAGGTCTAGAGTATTACTGAAACTCAAAAACAACTTAGTTAAGTACACATAGTATACTGACTGCTGCTACAGTATTAAAGGAAGTGCTAAGAGATATATTTAAAATTTCAAACAATCCTGTGTGACTTTTTACAGTAGTAACACTTCTCATGCATCATGAGCAATGCTGAATGAAGAGGCATGCTTTCCTGCCCAAGGATTGATGTGTAAAGGCCTTATGCCTCTCAGAGTCCTTGGGAAAACAGGTCCAGGCAGGCTGAGCCAGGACCTTGAGGACTTTCATTGTCACAGATAGGACAAGCAGATAGGTCATAAGCCACTTTTCTGTTCCTGGTCTCATTTCCTACCAGCCTTATATCTGTTTTCTAGGCAGTGGTCAGGAAAAAAATAACTTTGTGACATTATCACTGACCTTCCTTTCAAGGCCAGACTGAAAGGCAATCAGTACCTGCCACTGCTACACAGTACCTCCCAAGCAGTGGTTGCTTTGCTGTCATTTGCTTATCTGCTACTTCACACCTTCATGACTTATTTCTTGCAAGAATTTTGGCTCCTGGAATCGTTTACAGACAACTTCTATACAGGGACCCCAAAGTCACTTTGAAAAGATCCTGGGGTTTTGTTTATATCTAGTGCTACAAAGTGTTTTGTGAGCTTCTTTGGCAGGTTATATATATTTCTTCTGTTCACATTTGCCACAATTTTAATTAAAGGTTGTAAAAAAAATTAGGTCGCAGATTCTTACCTGGGTATAAGTTCAGAGTTTCAGAGGGGTATGTCACATCCCAGCACATCAAATAATTGAAATCAAAGAGGCGCCCCAGAGGACAAAAAGTAATGAAAAATAATAGCTCATCACCTTGTCTCCATTGGGTAGGGTTCAGCAGTCACAACTCAAGCAAAAGACTTTAAGAAAACTGGTAATATTCAGGAATATTTGAATGAAGAAGAAAAGGAAAAGCCATGTCTGCCACCAGATGCCCTGGATAACACCCAAGGACTTGCATGGGACACCTGTGCATTTGAGCACAATAGCAGACCCTAAAGTGCCAGGGGAGACTGTGTATCCAAACATGTACAGAGTGCCCTGCACAGCATTCAAAGGAAAAGAAAAGTCATTTGGTCTCCTACATAACTTTGTCCTGCTGTGAGCCCTTCCTTGAGAAGCCTGCCCTGAGCTTTTTGTTCTACAGTGTCAACATGCTGGGTTGCCCAGCAGCATTCCTCAGATCAAATTTTGTCAGTTTATTAAGCACATTTTCTCCAGTGTGTATCAGAGATGAAGCTAGTCCTGTAGGATCTGTCTCTAATAACATAATTTTAGTGAAATCACAACATGGAATTACACATACCTTCAGTCTTTTAGGAACTTTTTTTTTTTTTTTTTTTTTTTAATAAGAAATCACTCTGTAAATATATAATCAAATGAAAAATGTTCTAAATAAAGATTGCATTTTATGGTTAAACTTCCACAGAATAACAATGGAAAGTACTTTCAAGTAGGATTACATTTTAATGCCTTATTGGAAATGTAGAAATATTTCAACCGAAGAAAATGTTTGATAGAAAATGAAATAGATTATTATTTAAGTTATTTTAAACTGTTTTGTTTTATTAAGTTCATTTTGAAAGTTATGTATTTTACAGGATTACATCACAGCAACAAAGAAATCCTAACATGTCTAAGACACTGGAGGTTTAGTTTACTTTCAGGCATAGGGTAATCAAATGTAAGTAAATATAAAATATGAACTTGTTTGTGCCATAAGAAATTCTGAAAACTCATTTCAGAAATTCCATCTGAATATATTTTACAGGGTTGGAAAAAGTTTGTAAGACAAAAATCCAGTAGCAGTTGTATTTGAGAAACTGGATCTTCACTATGATGGCTCCTGTTGATTCTGCTGAGATCGGGATCAATGCTGACATCCATCATAAATAGGTGTATTTAAGGTTTATCAGGCTTTGGCTCCCAATGGAAGAAATCCTAGAGAACATATTTTGGAGAAAGGTGATCTTCAGCTCTGCATCAGGTCCCTTTAGAAGGAAGGCCTCATGTTGGGAATGCCAAACTGAGGCACCCAAAATTAGGAGGTGTTTTTGGAAGTTTACATTTAAACCCTTACTGGATTTTAGACTTAAAATTTAAATCATAATAGAAAAGTTTAAATAATAGATTCTGAATATCTATTTCTGACAGATGACTCATACTGGAATAATACAACTAGATTTCTTGTGATTCTTTCCTTGGTACTCTTCTGAACTTTACTGAGGACTGCAACAACCACAGATTTCAGTAAGTGGAAGGAAAGATAACTCCTTAAAAGTTTGAAATGGTACCCAAAGATAGATTGGTTCTCAAGATACCAGTGACAGAAAAAAAAAAAAAAAAAAAAATTGTTCCAGCCAGGGAATTACAGATATGTATAGGAAAGAACAGAAATGGACAAATGTGGGCCAAGTTCTTCCAGCGTTGCACTGACTTATGTTAATAAGGGAAACCACAATGTTCTATTCAGAACTTTCTGGTTTATTTGCCCATTATTGAAGGATCCACTTTTTCTAGTCCTCAACGTGGTAAATCTTGTGTGATGACTTAGGTTAATCATGTTGGTGGCCCTTTGTTGGACTGTCTCTAGTAGATCAGTATCTCTGTTGTACAGGGGAGTCCAGAACTGGACATAGCACCCCAGGTGTTGCCCCACCAGTGCTGAGTAGAAGGGAATGATCACCTCCCTTGACCTGCTGGTCACGCTCCACCTAATGCAGCCCAAGATACCATTAGCTGTCTTGATTCAAGGGTGCATTGATGGCTTATACTTAACTTGGTGTCCACAAGTTCTCTTCTGCAGAGCTGCTTTCCAGCTGGGTAACCCCCAGCAGGTACTGGGGCATGGGGCTGGTTTCCAGGTGCAGGACTTTGCACTTCTCCTTGTTGAAGTGTATGAGGTTCCTTTCAGTACATTTCTGCAGTCTGTCGAGGTCCCACTGGACAGCAGCATAACCCTCTGGTGTATCAGTCACTCCTCCCAGTTTTGACCTCTGCAACTTGCTGAAGGTATGCTCTGCCCCAGCATTCAGATCATTCAGAACAGTTTTGACCCCTGGGGTACACCACTAGTAATTTGCCTCCAGGTAGACTTTGTGCCACTGATCAAAACCCCCACAGCTTGACTGTTCAGTCAGTCCACTGTCTGCTATCACTGTCTGTCTTAGTCCTTTCTGCTAAATAAAGGGCATCTCTAAAGAGAGCTTGTTGTCTTGCTCCACATCTAGCCCAGAGCACTCCACAGCTCATCTTGCCTCCTTTCTCTCAGCAGCTCCCTGTGTGCAGGGCTGAGAACCAGCAGAATGCTCTTGATGTCCCACTTTTGTCTCTTTCATCTACTTATGACTCCCCTTGTACAGACCTGGAATTCCCCAGAGGGGACTGTGCATCCCACATTTATGAAGTGGTCAGGATTGCCAAGGACAAAAGATGCTGAAGACACATACACAAATGCAACACTACACACCATCAAGATGGTTACTTGTCACTTGATAGCTATAATAGCTACTATTCCTCCCAGAGGTTCACTACTTTTCTCTAAAAATAAGCATATAAGTCTGAACTCTGCTTCTTTATTATCTTTTTCCATCTCAGTATCAGCAACTTTGATAATGCTGTTGTTGACATACGGTAAATATTTCACATGTGTATGTAGTATACTGGTAAAGGCTTAACTTAGATCTCAGCTTCTGTGAGCAGGCACACAGCTGTGAAAGAATCTATTCTGCTTCACAGTGGCTACTCCCTGTGCAGCTATTGCTTGGGAATTTTTTTTTCCAAATTGTGTAAGGAAAGCAATATGACTGGACCTTGGGCAGGTAGAAATGCTACAAACATACGCACTGCTAGGCAAGAAACTCACACAGTTCTGAATGTGCACAAAGTCCCTTTGCTTGTGAAAGCTAAATTTAGTCTTGTCCTGGATTTCTATTGCCTTCAACAGTTAACTGGTCTAACAGCACCAGGACTGAGTATTCTTCATTACCAGAATGTGTTAAGATCCACACCTTGCCCGAGGATGATTTCTGACAGAAGCTGACTGTTTCATGGAAAAGTACTGAAACAAATTCAAGGCTGCTAGTATGAAAAGAATTAATTACAGTAGTAAAAAAATTCAACAAACCCTAGCTGAACCCTGAGCAGAAACAGAATAAATAGTACAACAAACAAGATATTGATTGAAAAAAATATTAAATTTTAATTCCACCAAGCAAAATCTAGTGAAATGAGTGCAAAATGTTACAAACAAATTTTATTACAAACATTTTAATACTATTGTAGATAAGAAAGACAACCTGGCAGAACAGGATCAATTCAACCAGAAAATTGCTTACAAAGGACCTGCTCTTGCTCCAATATCAACAGCATTTTACAGGCAGACTTCAAGGAAAACCAGATTTGAGCCTTTGAATTTTTATTGTAACTTTACAAAAGCATGTATCTCAAAAAAGCAATAAAGGACAAAAAAGTAGCTCCACTCTATAGGTGTTTTCCTATGAAGGATGTATCAGAGTTGCAACAGTCTTCATTATGTACATTTGTAACCTTTTAATATTAATTATCCCCTGGAATTAATTATCCCTGGAATTAATAACAACCAATATGAAGGAAAACAATATAGCCCAAGAAACAGTTTCTTGTTTAGGCCTCAAAGAAAGGTCTAACACAGTTAGAAAAGCCATATAAATTTGTCACTCCTACTAAATTTAGGAAAATGCAGCCACCCTTAGTCATCAATTCTTGCTATAAATGTACAAAAGTGGCCAATAATTGCATTGGATTTTTTACTCTCTTTTGTTGCCTTTTTCAGAATAAAACCATGGTAACATGCTTTTAAAACTGATGTGAGTAACTTTTACTTATATTACTTAGTGCTTACAGTATGTTTCCTATGTCTCAATATATTTTTGAATATTTACTTAAGGATAATGCTTTTCAGATATTCTGGTTAAATAATTTTAAATTATGTTACTACTGGAATTTCAGACTATGTCAGCTAAGTTAAAGTATTTTTTCATAACATCTTTTTATTTTAATATTTTCTGAGATCAAAAGATAGAAGCAATTTTGGCTTAATAGATGAATCAGTCCCTCTGTTGAGATAAGAGCAGTAAATTCATAAGATTAGAGACACAACAAAAATAGCAGTTAGAATCCCAGTCCTGGCATAGATGAGAAAAATGTTTAGAATTATTGATAATATTTGGGCATACAGACCTATATCTGCATGTAGCAAAACATGAGCCCCATGTCCTAAAAACCTTAGTTTTTAAAATACTTGTTTATATCAATAAAAAGAGGGAAATTCACCAAATGTTCGACTATGACTTTAGCAGTTTTTAAGAAGTTATGCATATGCCACCAGTAATGGAGTCAATTACCTTTAGGTAGAGACAAAGTAACTAGATATACTGCTATTACAGAAAATGCATTTCTGTCAGAACCATGACTGTGATGGTGAATTTCAATTATTATATCTTCTTAAATTTGCATATATTTAAAAAGATGGTAAAAGTTATTTAGTCCAATCAGTGTTATTAGACTTGTAATTTTTAATTCTACACATATATTCTCAAAGAGATTATTCTATGCAGCCTGTAAGAAAACTATATATTAGTAGCTGATTTACTGCTGTTTTTCAGATTAAGTGAAAGTTTCTGGTCCTGATCACTTTATAGCCTATAAGAGACTGACCATGCTGGCCCTACTCCAGTAAAGAAGCATAAGCACATGCTTAATAAAACCCCTGAAATCATTCTATTTCATCATATCGGGCAGATGGCACCTTCCACAACACATTTCTCCTTGTTCTCTGCTAGAACAGGGGAGTACACCACCTACTGAAAAAGCACAGGTCTCCCACACAAATCCTGAAACCAGAGGGACTACATACATATACTGACATACTCTTCTCGATGAAACCACAGTGTATTTTGGAGGGTCATACCCTTAGAAATAAAGGTTTCCATGTACCTTCCTGAAAAGTAAATCCCTGAACTACCTTGTACCATTCTTCAGCACCCGATTATCGAAATAGTTTCCAATATCCTATCTATAATTTAATAGATGCTCTTTCACTTTCATTTGAAAATACTGTGTAAAGCAGCAATTATGGAATGATTGCTGAACTGGCTGCAGTTCTGTAACTGTAACTCAGCAATCTATATATAGAGTAACTATAAAGTGCTTTAGAATTGTTTCACATGAAAGGTGCAAATAAATACTATGTCCTCTTATACGATCCCCCTGGAGAACATAGTCCTGGTGAGCCCACACTCAAATGTTACAGCAATTAAAAAATTATACTGATATATATACATATACACTGGAGAATGCTTCTTTCTCCAGTATTTACTGGGGTTAATGTCTCACAGCATCATAATCAGCAGGCCTGCTGCTTGCCCTCCACTAGCTGTCTTGCTGGACCCAAACACACTCATCTGGTTGGGTTAAAAAAGGTGCAGTGCTACTCTGGCAATCTGCACAAAAACGGTCCCTTTAATGTGCAGAACCTGGGGTTGTTAGTTGATTCCTTCTGACTGTCACTTCATGAAAAGATTGAACTGTCAGCACACTGCAGTATCTTTTTGGCTCAAAACTTCAGCACATCCCCACAGCAGAATGCTGACAGGTATGAATTGTCAAAATTTCCCAGGATTTGGATTATGCCATTGAAATAGCTCTAATGAATGTCTATACAATGCATCGTGCAACACTGCAGTGCTTATAATCTCCTGTTCCCAAAAGATTTGACTATGAATGGGAAGATTCTTTATTGCTTTTATGTGTGAGGAATTGAAGCACCAATGAGTAAGAAAAGTGTGCCAATGTAAGAGTCGACCCCAAAAAGATTCTATGGATCATATTCTTTTGTAGTACACAGAAATCCCCCATGAACAAGCAGTATTGTATATTTCTACAGAGTAATTATTTTATATATTGGGAAAAATCCTGTTTCTACCAAAATCAAGACAAAACTCCCACTGAATGAAGTATGATCTGGATTTCACATTATATTTGGAACCAATTTCAAGTACTTTGTCACACATAGAAGAATTATCAGCCTCACAGCATGCTTGATGCAGTCTATTACAATTCTGAATTATAAAAACCTAGTATTAAAGAGTTTGACTTCTTCAAGGTTTTTCTATTCAATTATTGTGGTTCACATGACTCTGCCTTCCTTAACTGTGATTACTACAGACTAAAAAGGGAAAAAGAAATAACAAAGAAAACAGAACACAATAAATCCTATTACCCAGTTGACTGAATAAATGTAGATTATCACCATGTCCATATCAAATCGCCATCCACGGCTATCATCCTCAAAGTCCATGTAGTCCATCCTATGAGCAGCATGTGGGAAATGCCTCCTTGTAACAGTACCTGAGCGTCTTTGAAATCCTGCTGAAAAACAGATTAGGAGATAAAAATCTTTATAAAACCAATCACATTGAGTAAAAAAAAAAAAAAAGTTAACTCTCCTTCCCCCAGTTATTTACAGAACAAATGGAAGGAGGAAATCTCACACCTCATTGTTAGGTTTCCTCACTTTGTTGGATAAGAAGCTCTTTGTGGACTTGATTTTGAGATTTAAAAGGTAACTCTGTCTCTCATGTTTGGAAAATAATATGTTTGTTTGTTTGGATTTGATACAATAATGCTATCAGCTTATTTTATCCAGACCTATGAAACCTCTCTTTTGGATCATTCTTCCACTGATTTTGATTCAGTGATCCAAAAGTGAAATGTTCCATATACTGTAATTAATCTCTTGAGTAATATCTGTATTTTCTAAGTCTACTCATCTGAATTCTTCAGTAATTGAGGCAAATACTGATGTGTACACATAGTTCAACAGTGCAAATACATTTGAATTCTTATTTCTAGTATTTGAAATTTTTTTTTTCAAAACACTCTTCCAAATAATTCCTTGCTTTAATATTATGTCTCTATATGATACATATGAGGTTAAAATTCAATTTTTATCCTCCTGTTTGTATACTGATAATACCTTAAAAATATACGGGCAGATACAAACACAGCCTTTCAAGCAGAAATAAAAATCCTGTGACTCCAAGAATGGCTTGAGAGTGGGGTCCTACCAAAAGGTCCTTCCTCTTCATTCCTCCCCTGACTTCGTAAGAGAAGTACTGTAGGAGCATAGTTCTTGCATATTTCAAGATACGAGGTTAAAGAAGTGTCTTGTACAGCTGTATTAGACAGCAGAGGTGGGACGGGAAAGAGGCTGGGAGCTGTGCTGCAAAGGCAGAAGATCTGTCCAGTTCTGATGATAGACAAGGAGGGAACGCAGTCATACCGATCTAGATTTTTGTTCCATTTTCAGGTAACTCTCAATCTTTATGATGCATTCTTTGATTCTGGAAAATGGGTCTTTGCTGAGCTGCCCAGATTCTTTTCCCCTGCACTGACATCATGGCTTTTGGTGTCTCCAAGTGGGTAAGAAGTGTCTCTTTCAGTATGCACCACTGCACACCAGTGTGCCTCAGCGTGTGTTCCTCAGCTTTAAGCTACTACCGTGCTGCCTTCTAGTTTACCTTAACTACGCCTCCTTGAAATTCCTCAGTCTTCTGTTTTTGACTAATACAAATAATTGTGTATAACTGGTGTTCACATGCCAGTAATTTTCATTTCAACATTCTCAGATCTTACTCAAGGTATTATAACTGAGAAACATTTTTAAAAAGTGTCCTAATACAGGACCTTGCTGGAATTTCAATATTTTTCCTTTTCAGTGGTGGGTATTTATTGTTTCTTTGTATTTTTTTCTGAATTAGCATTTTGCCCCAAACTTTTATAGTACAATTGTTCCACACCTTCCACAGAAAAGTATTTTCTCTCTTTGGTATCCTTTTTAAGAGAGTTTATTGAAGACTTTTTTTTACTCCAAATTACAAAGGTAAACTCTTCCTCCTGTATTCATTTAATGATTGCTTTACTTAGAAATTTGACTAGACTACTGAGATACAGAAATTCTTTCTCTGGAGAATCACTCACTGTTAGTCACAGCTGCATTTCTTTTAATTTTTTATTTCTAATGACAATTTGGATCAGTTTGTCATGTACAGATACCAAGTTTTTAGGTCTGTATACATCAGAATCTCTTCAACATTATTTATTATGTTTTGGAAACTATACATGAAATCTTCATGCCAGTCAAGAGTGTGATGGTATTTTGATGGTTTTCAGTGATTACAAGCGGGCTAAGATTTGTCCCACAGATAAATATGCTATACTGCCTCTAGGAAAAAAAAGAAGTTTAAATTTCCAGGCATTTGCTTCTAAAGAGTTTTAGATTATAATATCAAAAAATTTTATGCGTGCATGAGTTAAACATCCGCTTAAAGATGCTGAAGATCTGTTTCAACTGTGATATGTACTTTCTTGGTTTTTAAGCTATACTTTAGATTATGTTAAATTAAATTTACATTAATTTAAAACAGTATCTTTGATTACTGAAAAATAATATTAGTAGTTAGTAACAAAATCCTGGAAAATGTTGGTCCTCTTTACACATCCCTCTGTCAAGATGCAATTCACTTGAAAAACACTAATTTAAAAACTTATCTCAATTTCAAATCTGTATTTATAAATTTATTTTCTAACACTTGTAAACATTATTCTCAAATAGAAACCTCGATATATGTTGTTATGCTCTGTTTTTTAAATTTGATTTGCAAATGGCATTAAATGTTATCACTAATGATGTATCATTCACTTTGCTTTTTACATGTGAAATATAGTGTATATTATCATCTCTGGAGGGTCTTAGTCAGGACTGTTACCTGTGCTTTCTTTTTATTTATTTCTGTACTTAAAGTAAATATAACACAAAATGCTAGAGGCTGGGTTTGGATCAACAGTGATAATCAGGGAATTATGCAAACATGTAGCTACATTAGTTTTGACATTTGAACACATATTATCCTCATTTTGCATGCCTGTGCAACTCACCTTAAGCAAACCTGCACTGAGTTTATCACAGATTAGACTTTATAATGTAGTCATTCTACATTCAAGAACAGCAGTTTCAGTATTCTCTAATTGCTCTTCCTACAGAAAGCCACAGAAAAATTGTTGGTACTGTAATAAAAGTATATATACAATCAGGGACTGCTTACTATACAGCATGTGTAATCCCTGTGGCTTCCCTGCATGCGAGTAAAACTATTCAAAGTTGACAGCCAGTTATGTGGAACAAATTTCAATTCCATTGTTGAAATAGTCTCTTTTTTTACCATCTGTAAACTGATTAAGCTTCATCTGAAAAGGTGAGTAGTACAACTATTATGTAAACCAAATTCTACAACCTAACAGAGGCTGACAAAGAGTAACTGTTTATTTTCCCTGAAGTATATTACCAAATAAACTTGTGTACAGTACTGAAACAAATGATCAGATTTAGAAACCTTGTATGATTGTGTGCAAAGGTTAATGCAGACTCTATGATCCGCCCTGTAACTACTGTCTTTAACAAATTGTGACATGAAAAATACCTTTAGATGTCTGTCTCTACAGCTGGAGTGGAAATAAGTCATGTCTCTGCATCTGATTCTAGCCATCTACAGATAAAAACTGAGAGCTGTAGAATTCCTCAAAAACTGTACAGCAACACAAAGTAGGGGTTTGTATTATGAAACAGAATAGCTGAGGGAGCTTCAAGCCACTTCTAATCTATTTGCTCCTTTGTATAAAATAAACCCTATCTCATTGATGAAAAGTCCCTAAATAATTTATACACAGTCATGTATTTGTTAAAACATATATTTTACTTAACTTTTTTTGTGCATGCCTGTGTTTCTATACCCTGAACAAGAATTTCCACTCAAATCCCATGCGCATGGAAGCACAGTGCCAACAGTCTGACAGACTGTTAGTGGAAACCTGCTACTAGATAATAAAAACAATGCTTTGTGCAAATCAGACTTTTATACCCAGCAAAGCGTGCAAATAAAAAAGGATATTCACCATAGGCATACCTGTTGCATGTGTCCTTACCAAAGTTTTTGCAACCTCCTGTTGAGGTAGTAGTAATATTCAAAATAAGACTACAGACAATTTAAAATATTCTCCCAATTTTATAAATTGACTGACCTCATTTTGCTTTGACTAAAGAATGTAAGATATGAGATGGAAAATTTCATTCTAAAAATGTGCCCAAATGAATACCATGCAAGCTATAATAACCATTTACATTGTAAGTGCTCACGTAAAATTAAATTACCTAAGAACAAGTGTTCTTAGGTAATCAGATGTACCAAGGTCATTTTGATGCAGTGTCATCTTTCTGATTATGAGCTGCAGCAGATAAAGCTACTGAAAGACTATAGGAAAAAAGGCAAATACAGATTGATATCTTCCCATATGTGTCCTTGCAGCACCCAGCAGTTTAGGACCCTGTGCTTTGGAAACTGTGCCCAGAACAGTGTGTTAAAATGGCATTGATAGGATTTTCCTTCCTTGCATGTGTCCATTCATACTTTTGAACAAGATCTCCTATCACTTCCAATTACTATGCTTTGTGTCCTTTGTTGGAGTAGACTTATAGGAAATAAATTGATTTCCTTTAAGGTGAAACTATATCAGAACATACACTACAAGAGCTCTGATATGTTCCAGTAATATGCTTCAACCACTAATAGGCATTCAGCCCTTGGACTGGAAGTTGCCCCTGTTGCCTAAAATGCAAATGTTGACATCTGGCCCTCAGCACCAGTTTTTTTTGCACTATCTGTGATGGCTGATATAATTGCTAATGCAAGAATGCCTCTGAGAGACAGTGAACAATATTTCCTAAAACATCTTTATGCCATTCGTAGTTTTACAGACCTCTTGTATCTGTTTTTCGTAATATCCTTTACAAACAAAAAACTTGTAAATTTCCTTCATATGGAAAAGTTTCCATATTTCAGATCATCCTTTACACATTATGCTTCACCACGCTTTATCCTTCTTTGAGACGATGTAATCTAAAATTATATGCAAAACTGGAAATGTGGGATCACCACAAACCTAGAAAATGACATCATGTTTTCCATTTTGTTATGATCCTAATAATTCCTGCTTATATTTTGGCTATGGCTGCGTATTGAATGTTTTCAGAAAACTAATCACAGTATTACCCAGATCTCTTTTCTTAAGTGGCAATAGCTAATTTAAAACTCAACATAGTGAGTATTCTGTATTATGGAGATTGCATAGCCTCTGTGGGTAACCGCTCCTCCACTTGACTGTGATCACAGAGTGTTTTTCTTACTTGCAGTCTGAACCTCTCATATCCATTATCGCTCATCCTCCTGCCATGCACCACTGTGAACAGCTGGTCTGTCCTCTTGGTGGTCTCCTTATAGGTATGGTAAGGCTGCTTGGAGATCATCCTCAAAGAC